CCCTCTTCTGGCCTCCACGGGCACTGCACAACACAAACATACATGCAGGCAATTCACTCATACAAATAAAATATTTTTTAAATTAAAAAAAATTTTTTTTACGTTCTGAAAAAAAAATTTTTTTAAAGAAATGGAGGCAAGAAAATGTGGAGTTCAAGGTCACCCTCAGCTAGGTGCCAAGTCTGAGGCCAGTCAGACCTATATGAAAATCCATCTCTAAACACAGAGGAAAAAGGAGAGTGGGAGGGAGGGAGGGAAGGGAAGGGAAGAAAAGGGAAGGGAAGGGAGGAGAGGGGGGGGAGGGAATGTCAGGCCATGATCCCCTCATCTCTTCACATACTCCTTCCAATAAAGCAGAGGCTTTGATGCTCTGTACCTTCTTTTCTGGAATGATAAACGGCACAGATATATATATATATATATTTAAGCCTGTTAGGCAGACTAGCAGTAAGAAAAGGCAAATTAGCTAGCTTTACCTGAGACTGCTTCAATAAGTGGTAGACGTTTTCACTTCAGAGTGCTGAGCTAGGCACAGGTATTTTCAGAAATATAACCTGTCAGCCTCACCTAGCACCTCCCTTGTAGCCTTGACCTCATTCACACCATGTTCTAATGGTCTATCTCACACCCCTGCCTTGTGACTGGGGGAAGGCAAGCAGCTAAGCCAGTGCCATGTCATGATCTAACCCACCCCACTTATCTCTTGCTATGGCTTCTGCTGTACCTAATCCCTATCCCCAACAAGCTTTTCCCAACTAGCACTCTCACAACTGGAACAGGGAAAGTCAGTGACCAGATGCAGAGCTAACATTTACAGAACTCACAGTATGCAGTATCGGTCTCCAGCAGCCTATAAGATCACCTGGATTAGCCACAAAATGCTGCTGATTTAAACCAAAGTCACTCTACATGTATTCAGTCCCTTCTCCCATGTTTCACAATTATTAAGTATAAAAGTAAACGTATTTCATTAGCTACTCTGTTCCAGGCCCTGAAGTTGCAAACTACATCAAAGAAAAACACCATGTAAAACTGAAAATGTATTATTTTGTGGACAAATAGAAGCATTTCTAGAGATAACAGATGTATTCACTGCAATCTAAATATAGTCACTATTTGAGTCAGGCTATAATTCTAAGGTAAAAGAAACAAATTTTTCAAATTTTCATATAACAGAAAAATAGTGATCTAAATTAAGACTTCTCTTTATTCTTAAGTCACTTTACCCAATTAAGCTATTGCACATTTGCTCTGCATCTTACTTTGACAAGTGAATAAATTATATAAACTTCAGTATCTATAGAATAAATTTTTAAACATTTTCCCAGCTGCTCAATCTTGGCGAAATACAACCCCAAGTCCAGGCCCTCTTCTCTCCACTACTACACACGCTCACCCAACCCCACCACTCTTTCACCAAACTCACTTTTCATGAGTAATGAGGGACTTTGGGAATCTTTTTTTTACTGTATGCCTAAGTTAATGTTCCTGATGAAACTGCAAAAATGAAGGATAGTCTTTCACATTAAAGCCCTCACAACTGAAGCCTGGTATGGTGGCACACACCTGTAATCCCAGCACTTGGGAGGAGAAAGGGGGAGGATCAGGAGTTCAAGGCTAGCCCCCACTCCAAAGCACAATCAAACCCAGCCTAGGCCTAGGCTACAGAAGACCCTGTGGGGCGAGGACAACACACCCTCATAATCTAATACAAGATAAGGAGGAAATGTACAACACAGTAAGTCTGAGATCACAAAAATGCTGTGAAACTATACAAGGCAAATGGACAGAAGTGGAATTACTCATGTAAGATGACCTAAGAAACGTTGCAAACTCAACAGATGAGGATCGAAAAAGGGTTTACATTTCATGCGTAGGAAAACAGAACCTACAAACACAGCAGGATCTTTGCTTGTCTTGATTTTCACTGTTAAAATTCTCAGAAGATGGACAGTAACTTTCTTTAGCATTAAAACTGCAAATTACTTTGAGATATTTAGCAGTACTCCAGCATGCTAGAATTTATTGTTATGAATACAGACACACCCAATTTTAAGAGTACCTTTAGAATAATCTCATTTGGCCAGATATGGACATTTTTGTATTTACCAAAACACATACAGACCACATGCAATTAGTGTAGCTGGGCAAAGGCCTTCAGCTTGGGAGCGGACATCCTTGACATCAGAGTCTCACTGGGCATATAACCTTGGCAGATCTCTCCTTGTTTGTTATTCTAATTTGATTATAGTATGTTATCATATTAATGTTTATTTGAATATCGTTTGTCTCCCTTAAGTAGAATGTAAACATCATAATGAAAGTAGGGACTGTCCTCTATTTGGGGGTTGCTATAGGGTTTTGTTTTTGTTTGGGGGTTTTTTTGGGGGGGGGGCGGAGTCTTTACTGCATAGACTATACTTGCTTGAAACTCATGATCCTTCTGTGTTCAGAGTACTGGTTTGTAAACTTGCTCCAACAAGCCCTGCCGTGAGAACTATGTGAATCACTTCTGTATCCTCAACATTCAGTACAGTCTCTGGTGGCCAGCAGGTGCTAAATGTATACTTTATTTAACTGAGTGAATGAACAGTCTAAGACAACCACATCACTCCTGAAGCCCTAGACTGTGACAGTGATCTATGACCCCAAAAGGTGTGCAGCTCAGTAATCTGGCAAAATTAAGACTGTAAAAGATTTAATTATCCCATCCATGCTTTTGGAGGCTCTTGTCAAGAAATTCCAATGGACTCTGATATGAACATTTGATATTTTCCCTGTTCTGACTTTTTTCTGGTTCCCTGTCTAGAACTTGTAATGCTAACTACTCTTGCCTTTACTTCTCCTTCACATTCCCTATTCACCAGTCAAGGGCTTTCTTTTCTCCCTACAGATAAAGAGTTATGCAATTTGGGAGTCTTCTAGATAGACCCACTGAAGGGATATCCCACTTGCCTCACCCTGCGACCCTGTTCAGCATAGAAGCCAGAGTGATCTGCCTCCGGATTCCCTATAGGCAAGTTGGAAAACCTCTTCAGAGGGTGGTGTGATAAGAATAGGAGGTAGGAATTGGCTAGGCAGTTAGGGTAAAAAGACCCCAAAGAAAAGTAGCCAGCTTCCTGGCTAAAAGTCAAAATGTTACTTATAAAACAAGTAACTCCTATGAGGACTGAGTGTCAACAACAAGACATGTGGAAAACGCCAATTCAGGACGGGTCACCAACAATAAAGCCCAAACCCTTGAGTTCCAGAAGAAAACACTCGGGGAGGGGAGGGGAGGACACAAAGATCAGAAAAAAGTGATGGGGAGATATGGGAGGTGTTGGAGGGGAGGTAGTGGGTGTGGATTTGATCAAAACACCTTATATGCATGTATGAAATTCTCAATAAAGTTTTTATTAAAGTTAAAAAGATTTAATTATCCCATCTGCTTTGAAATCAAAGTGGCATATCTAAAAATAATTACCACAACCAGTCCTCAGAAATTCTTTTTAATACAGTCCTCAAGAGCAAGAACAGTCATCCATGTGGGAAAATGGATTCTTCAATGATTGTCTTGATATGACTTTTTTAATTCTATAGATTTTAAGCCCACTAATTTCATCCATTTTTAAAAAAATACTGTTCCACAGAATGCAACAGAGATTCAGCCTTTAAAGCATCTTTTCCAATCTGATTCACCACTCCTTGAAGAAAAATATATAAAACATATGACCTTTAAATGGAGGATTGGTTGGAAGCAGGAAGATCTACTTGAAACGAGTACATAAAATGAAACCAAAGGTTGTAGAAGTCTTTGGTAACATAACTCTAGGCCCCTATTGTAAAGAACAACTTCTCAGGGATGATTCATAAATCATAACCTCTAGGTGTAAGTTCACAAAGGAGCTAATAACTCCACATCATGTGGAAAACTGTGGTGCTTCTAGCAAAGCACAAAAACAAATTTTAAACCCACCCACGTTTTGCGTTACTCCGGGCCTGTGTACTTCAACTCCACACAGAAGAGTCTGATTTATTAAAGTAAACAAATGACAGAAAAGCTAAAGCTGCTTTTCAAGATTAATGTAGATTCCCAGTGACAAGACTGCCATCTGGACACAGGTTGGAAACCGCAGGGTTCATTTCTCTCAGCGAGTAGAAAATGGAGAAAATTTCAACAGCACACTTAAAAAGTTTCCACCTTCACACACACCCCCTTCCCCTAGCCGGGGTTGGGGGCTCCACCTAGCCGAAGACGCCAGGAGGAAATCTGCCGGGACTTCCGTCCTCTCCTGGGCAGGAATGAGACCCTTCCTTCCTGCCGGCAGACCCCCGCCCGGCCGGACACCTCCCCGCCCGGCGCACGGCCCGACGGAAACGCAACGGGCGCTGCCGGCCTTCCTCCGCTCAGGGTCCCCGAACCTAGTCCCCCGTCCGCGGGTCCTGCGGGTTCCCAGGCCCCGGAACCCACAGGTTCTCAGTCCCCGGACCCCTGGGTTTCCGGTCCCCCAACCCCCCGATCCCCGGCCCTCTGGCCACCAGTCCCCGTACCCTCGATCACCCAGATCCCCTGACCCTCAGGTTCCCAGTCCCCGGACCTTCAGGCGCCCGGTCCCCCGAACCCCCGGACCCCC